CCCTAATAACAATAAGATCAATAGCTTGTAAAATAACTATTACAAAGGTTGAGATCCTTTTTGCAACACTGTAGTAGGAACAGCCCTCTAGGATGTTTTCAATTATTTAAATTCCTTTCATTACACATGACTCCTACGTTGCCCTCCTTAACAATGTTTGTTGCTTTGACATTGAGACTATACATAGCTTCTACCTGTGGCTCATTGGTAGAAAAAAAAACTGGGTGAATTACTGGCATCCAAGCCTGCACACATTTTTATCTCTGTCAAGCCTCGGGACCTCAGAGAAAAACTGAGTGTGTATCACTATAAATCATTCAATGCCTATATTAAGCTTGCTCAGTGACACTACATTTTATATCAGTGGGCTAGGGTTGGCCATGTTGTTTCTCATATTATCATGCTGAAATTCTGCCTTATTGTCAAATAAACTACATAAGGAAATTTATTCCTTCAGAAATTGGGATAAGCAGGTATTAGTTACAACTAATGTTTCTCGATTTATCATTTGTCTTAAGGACTCCTGTTAGGTGAAGAGTTCAAGTCCTGAAATAAAAAGAGAGAAAAAAAACTTCCCAATTGAATATACATTTGGATTTTCAATCATTTCTGGGGGAGAACATTTTTTAAAGCATTAGTCAGTTTTTAAGAATAAACAAAGTGGAATTAGGAAGAGGAGTGTTAACAAGAAGACAGAAACTTTAGAAAGAAAAAAATGCTTTTCAGAGCCCTACAGAATTTGGAAGCACCCTGGGGGTGTAAAGGTCGTGCTAGGCTGCTAATGGAAAGGCCAGTGGTTGAAGTACTAGCCACTCTGGAGCAGAAAGATGTGGCGTCTACTTCTCTAAGGATCACAGTCTTGGAAACTCTACGGGGCAGTTATTCAGTGGCCTACAGTTGGAATCGACTAAACATAACAGGGTTTTTGGTTTTCTTTTTACGGAGTTGGGAGAAAAGAAAGCTGAATGACCAAGAAATAATTCCACGACCATCTCAGCTTATGTGGGACAGACACAGGTTGAGGTCATGAATTTTGTTGTCTGGGATACTCTTGGATCATTGTTCTGATTTTCTTTTCTTTTCTTCTTAGCATCTTACTTTGGGAAAAGGTGATTGCAAGGCTAGGACATGAAAAACTTAAGAGGGGAAAAAAACCCTCGGTATCTATCAATTGTGAACTTTCACCTCTATTTGTCATACATTTGTGCTAACATGATACATGGAGAAATGACTGATGTTTTCAAGGATCTCATTTTACTGAGATCCACAATCAGTGCTCACAGAAACAACAGTCAAGAGATCAAACAACCCGTTTGCATTGGGCAAAACTGCTGCACCAAACCTCTTTAAAGTGTCAAAGACCAAGACTTTCTCTTTGAAGATGTATCTGACTTGAGCCCTGGTATGTATCTCTAACAGCTGTGCACGCATATGACAGTTGGCCAATGACAATGAATAAAGAAGACGGCAGAATTTATATATTTGCATATGGTGTTGGTGAAGAATATTAAAAATACCATAAACTGCTAGAGGTACAAACAAGTCTATTTTGTAGAAGTATAATCAGAATGCTCCTTTGAGTGAGTATCCTTAGATTTTGTATCATGTACTTTGAAGAG